CTCTCTCTCTCTCTCTCTCTCTCTCTCTCTCTCTCTTTCTCTGTCTCACTCATGGTATAAATAAACTTAAAAAAAAAAATTGAGGGCCAGTCCAATGGCCTGTTGGTTAAGAAAGCCAGATCCCATATGACCAACAGAACAGTTCAAGTCCTTGCTGGATCAGCTTGAAAGACATGCCAGGCAAGTGTGTGTGCATGCCCAACATCCCAACAGAGTGGAAAAATGGGGGAGAAAGGATTGCAACATGATCATACCCCACTAGGAAGTGCTTTTTCCCTCTCTCTCTGTCTGGTACATGCACCCTCCAGCAAATTGAAGTTGTGGGGGAAAAAAAAAAAAAAAAAAAAAAACTCTTAATATGTTTATTTGAGAACTAAATGACTTAGCACATGTGAAAAATGTTTGACACAAAGCAAGCTCTCAATAAATGTCTGTTTAAAAATCTATAAATGAAACTTCCGATGAAGACAAAGAGATTTAGTACACTATCTAACCCAATCTATCGTGTGACTATAATATTTACAGATAATAACCTTTCATTTATAAAATAGGATATCATGTTGTATGTTAAAATCATCAATTATTAATGTTTTGAGTCCAAAGACCCTGAAACAATATTATTAGAGCCAATATAATGTGAATTCCCCTTGTAGGTCATTAGTTTTAGTATATACTAGAAATATATAAAAACATATCATTATATGCATATATAATAATATAGCTTTAATATATGTATATAAATAATTTTATATGTCTGTCTGCATAACACAAAATCATTTCTAAAAGTATATTGCAAAATTTATCATACTTAAATTTTGCCAAGAATTTTACATATCCCGATTTTTCAAAATCTTTAAATAAATGATTCATTTTATGGCCAACTTACTCTTTATACAACACACACACATATATTTATATATTTAATCAAACAAACTTTTATCAGTTTTATCTCTTCTCCTGGCTTTCTCCCAGAGTCAAGTCTCACATTTCTAACTGTATCTTCATCATGTCCATGCAAGTATCCCATTATTTCCTCAAATTCAAGGTGTCTAAAATAGAACTATTCTTTCCACAGCGAAACCATTTTCCCCCTTTGATTCTTTCATTTCTGTGGATGAATCTCCAAGTTAACAGCTATGTCTTTTTTGATCCCCTTTTCTCTCCTTTCTGGAAAGGTATACAAGGAACAGCAAAGGGCTTTGAAGTCAACTGGATCTGGGACAGTCCTATTTCTACTTCTTACTAATTGCTTAGGCTCAAACAAGTCATTATACCCTTTTGAACTTAAGTTCCATGTCTATAAAAATAGAAATTTGGAGCCAGTAAATGACATGATGGACTCTGACAGGGCCAACTGCAGTTCAAGTCCCAGACCCAGCAGCTTGAAACACACTGGCATGCATGTGTGTATGCCCAAAATGCCGGGAGGAGAAGAGATTGTGGTGTGGACACCCCTCCTTAGGGTTGGGGGAGGGGGAGTGATTGCTCACTTTCCTTCTCTCTGATAAGTTTAGCCATAAGTTAGCTTTTCCTCTTTTAAATTCCTAGATTTTGACTATATTACTTTTTTAGCAATTCAAAATTATTATTATTTTGAATTATTATTTAAATATGGAATTATATATTACTTAATGGCTGCTAACATCTCAAAAACAAAGAAAACCAGACATTATGTGCCTGCCAAAGGTGTCACCAGCTACTCAGCTCTAGTCAACAATGAATATTTAGCAAGGCAGGCCCAGTTTTATCAAATCTCTTGGATTTTCAAAAGAAAATCACAAATATTCATACTTTTTTTAGAAATCTCCTAATTTTTAAACTGACAATCTAATCTAGTCTAATTAATTCCTTGTTTACACACTTCATGAACCCAACAAAATACATCTGATAGCTTGATACATCCCATGTGCTGCTAGTTTCCAACTACTGGTTTACAAAAAAATCATGTATGGTGGAATGATAAAAGATGTATTCTAGTTCTTTCCTGACAGCAAATTTTTTTTTTTTTTTCTAATAGCCACTGAGAAGAGAGAGAAGAAAGCCTTGACCCAATTCACTGCCACCTTCAAGGATTTTTTTCTTTAAGTTTTTATTTTTATTTATTCCACAAGAAAGAGAGAAACAGGCACCCCTAACACAGTCTTCATGCCATGATCCTACCCCCAGTTTAGCCAGCTAGTGAACACACATACCCACCATGCACAGGGAGATCTTGAGAAGTGAACCTGGAACCTTCTCATATGTCTCAGTATTGCAAGCATTGAGTTATTCCTGTGCCAGCATGACTGATCAAAGTTTTTGTTGTATAAATAAATTATTAAAGATAATTTTGGTGGCTAGTTGTCGTTTATCCTCTTTCTCATCTCAAAACAAGGCTCCACTAAACAAGGCTCCTGTAACAATTAGAAAGAATGTTTATAAACTTCAGTTTGAGTAGATGTCACATTTATCAGAGACAGAATGTATTTACCTTTGGCTTATATAGCCAGTCTGGTAAAAGATACAATATCCCTAAGTAAGCCCAGAAACTTCTTCATGAAATATCTATGATGTCCCATCAATATACATTTAGAACATGCTTTCTTGAAGTACCTGGAATATTTCTGTGATCGAAAAGGTCTTTAAACATATAAAGCTGCATGTCTCATGGAATAGAAGGCACTAATTAATCCACTGAGTTAGGTAGGAGAGTTTCTACCATAATATATGCAGTCCACCCTCACAACCCTATAAAGGATTAGAATCTCCATCTGAAAGATGTAGAAAACTGAAGCTTAAAGAAGCACTATTACACAGTAAGGGGTAGAGTTGAAATTTTAAATTGTAACTATAATTTCAAAAGCCATAACCTACTTACTATGCTATGCTGCCTAAAGAGATAGATCCAAATGGGGTTTTAAATGAGTGTGTCCCATTCCCAGTTTAGCACTTGTATTTACATCACATTCAGCTGGCATTTTTTTTGTGTGTAAAATGTCAATAGTGATTTTTTTCCTTCATTTATGTCAACACTCTCAGCTTCTAACAGCCTGAGTTCAAATATTTAAACCTATTATTTATAGATTAGAAAAAATCTTTATTCATTTGATCCACAAATATTTATTAAATGCCTACTATGTGGTAAACACATGCTAATTGCTTTCTTATCCTCACTATCTAGAACTAATTTTCTAGATGAGTGCATAGAGATTTCTAAGATGGGAAATTCATTAACCATATGATTAAAATAATTAGAAACAAATGCACTCTTTATGTTTCACATAGTTGTCTGAAAATTAATGTGTGTGCTACCTGTTCCTCTTAAGAAGAAAATCTGTTATTCTGAGTTCTATTATATGATATCCCCTCCCATCAGTATTTACAGCTAGAAAATAAAGCCAAGAGGCAGAGTAGGGAAATCCTATTGGTATGAATTTATAGCCAGGTAGACTTTGTTTCTGGTTCAAGTTCTAGTTCTATTAATCGTTCTAGTTCTATGATGTTGTCATGAAAGTCAGGACACATTTTTGCACAGAAAAAAAAAATACATCATTACTCTTTCAACAACCTAAAACTTCTAGTTCTAATTCTAGTTCTAGTCCTTATTGGTTGTGCAGCCTTAGCCACAGCACTCAATCTTTTCAAATTTAGTTTCCTCATCTGTAAGTCTGAAAGGATTACACTCCCTTCTAGAATTTTGGTAAGACTTAAACAAGATATATGCAAAGCACCTGACAGAAAGGAGGTAATCTGTAAAAGGCAAAAGATTGGCTTACCAAAATAATCAACTTTACTTCTTTAAAAAACATTACTATAATATTTGGTTCTTTTTCTCCATTTTAGGGTAGCCTGCTGTTATAATTTATTGAAGAGGAATCAGGAAATTGGGTTACAGATCTAGCTCATCATTTTATTTTTATTAAGAGAGATTTGTGCTATAGGGTATGTGCATTCACAAGAGACACAGAGAAAGACAGAGAGACAGAAAGCAAGAAATCACCCCCTGGGCAGATGGCCATGCCATGATCCCTTCTCTTCCATTCTTCTCCGGCGATTTTGGGCACAAATGTACATGCACTCAGCGTGAGTTTCAAGTCACTGAGTCCGGGACTCAAGCTGCAGTTGACCATGTGGGAGTCCAGTGCTTTAACCATTATGCCACCTGCTGGCCACCCTCTTCTGTATGAACTTGTGTCAGTCACTTAACCTCTAACACTCAATATAAGAATAACTATCTACACATCGCTCTTGCTCATATTTTCTACTTTTAGAAGAGCAAGAATAGGGCCGGATGGTGGCATGGTGGTTAAGGTGCTAGATTCTCATATGGCCAACCACAGTTCAAGTCCTAGACCCAGTAGCCTGAAAACCACATTGGCTACATTTGCAATCATGCCCAAATTCCCAAGAGGAGACTAGAGAAGGGATTGCTGCATGGCTATGCCCCTTTGGGGGTGATTTCTCACTTTCCCTCTCTCTGTCTCTGTGTCTCTTTCTGGCAAGTACACACACCGTATGGCAAAAAAACTAAAAACAGGGGGAAAAGGAATATAAAGAATCTGAGATTTGGAATCAAAATGAACTGCTTTCCAATCACATAAATTTGAACTAATTATAATCACTTAATCTCTCTTGACCCTACCTATGTAATTGTAGATTTCTTCTTCAGGACTGTTAAATAAGGGAAAGTGCAAAAAAATAAAATTATAAGACAAACTGATGAACCAAATGTGTTTCTCTCCCCTTCCTTCCTTCTATCCACTCCCAATCCTTCTGCCTACTGCCTTCACTGAGCTAGCTTCTTCTTACCAATCAAGACTCAATAATTCCATCTTTTCCTCTAACAAGCGTTCCTAAACTACCACTACAACCACCCCAAGCTGTAGGGAACCATTCTTTGGTCTCAGAATTCTGTGTACAACTCTACCTTGCCTAAATGCTAATTTCCTAACTCTATTCCTCTTCCACTAGGATTAGAGCTCCTTAAAAGTAGGGAGTTTTGTCTAATACATCTCTGAATTTCCAGAGTTTAGCACAATGCTTGGTACATAGAATTTTTTTTATATTTTTGAATATACAATAATTTTGATTGAGAGAAGATTTGTGCATTTGCCAGAGAGAGCCACAGAGACAGAGAGAGAGAAGGAAAAGACACCACCCCAATGAGGTTTGATCATGCCACAGTCCCTTCTCCTCCCTTTCTCCATCCTGTAGGGATTTTGAACACATACGTACACACATGTTTTTTCAAGACACTGAGGCCAGGACTCAAACCTTAGTCAGACATATGGGATCCAGCTCCTATAAACCACTAGGCCAGCCCAAATGAACAAGGAATTTTAAAAATGAGTAACACAGCCCACCACACAAAGGCATACAAACTATAAATACGGACAGATTGCTTTTCTGGTTCCTCAAAACACAGAGATTTTTTGGTTTCCATAATGTTGAAAACTTTTTTTTTTTTAATTACTAGAAAGCATGTGCACTTGCCAGAGAAAGAGAAAGTACCCCTCAATGGTGCATGGTCACACCCCCAATCATTTTCCAGCCTTTTCTCCCTCCTGTTAGGATTCTGGGCACACAGGCACACATGCTTGGCATCTTTTTCCAGCCTCTAGGGCCAGGCCTCTGACTTGAGGAAGCCATGTGAAATCTGCTCTAGAGAGTATAGCACTTAAGCACAATGCAAGGGGGTTGACTCGAAACTCTTTATTTAAGGATTTATAATACGATATCACAGTTTTCAACCCTACATTAAAAAGTTTTTAAAGAATTATTTAACTCTTTTTTATTAATCTGTTAGAAGGCACATGTATGCATCAGAGAGAGACAAAGAGAGAGGGAGCAAGCAAGTGAGAAAGTAAGCCACCAGGTCCAGAATTCAAACTATGGTTGGCCATATAGGAAGTCCTGTGCCTTAACCACCATGCCATCTGCTGGCCCCATCAATTCTACATAAAATTTTAATAGTCCTTTTGTATTTTCTTGTTTCATTCTCCCTCAGTTTACATGCAAAAGCAAGTATTCTGAAAACCCATTTAGAGACTCAAAGATTCACAATCGTCAGTTCTTGGATATATGTGACAAATAAAAAAAGTCTTCCGTTAGAGTGTGAAAAAAGAGAAATTTCTTTTATGGATCCCATTAAATAAATGGGGAATATGAAAAGCAAAAATTAGCATATTCCCATATGGTGAACACCATCAATGAATTATTACAAGCTCTCACACTTGAAGTAATTTTTTATAATCAGAAACATCAAATTCATCTAAGACTAAAATTTTTCTTAAATCAATATTAAAATTAACACCTACTCCATTGCTGTAATTTAACAATTAATAAAAATACCCTGAAACTCACATAAGACTGTGATGTCCTTAATCGACTCGAAGACAAAATCATGCTTTCATTAATATGTATGCAGACTATTGATATCCTTCTGACTGTACGTATACAGTTCTTAATATCTCTCATTAAAAGTGATACTGAGTGAAAAATAATGAAACTTAAGCCAAATACAGCCTTCACAGATCTCAGAAATACATTGTAAGAGAGCCATAGAAAAAACAAGCACACAAGCTTCTTTTACACACACACACACACACACACACACACACACACACACAAAAGCCTGTCCTAATACTTTTGGAATCTTTAATAAAGTAATGCTTACTTGTGTTACAGAAGACATATGTGACAAAAAAAAAAAAAAACAGATTAAACTTTGAAAAATATTTCTAAAAAGGGATGAAGTTATTGGAGTCCACTTTTCCATAATTCTAAAATCCACAAATATCTAACTTTGGCACCAAAATTTATTTCAGAGTAAAACCTGACCCAAATTAATGTGAAGCTGTTTATAATTTTTATTCACTCCACATGAACATCTTATTAATGCATTTGATTACAGGGTACTGTCCCATACTTCAATATATACTAGGAGTATTATGTAGCCAAAAGCATGTACTCTGTATTGCCTTTCCATAATTTAAAAAATCATCTTAATTCTGAAGTATATTTATATCCAAAGCTGCCAGATAAGGGACTATAGATTTAGATGTCTTCTTCCTTCAAAAGAGATTTTACTAAAAGTCTTTTAAGAAAAAGCATTCTCTCTCTCTCTCTCTCTCTCTCTCACACACACACACACACACACACGCATGCACACATATCAACTGAGCTTCCATTGTTTTGGAGGTATAAGACACTGTGTACTTTCTATACCTTTTACTTAATTCTTACCCTGAAAAGTAGCTACTACTATCTCCAATTTATAATAATAAAGAGAAAAGGCTTAACAATTTTGCACACTACAACATGTTCCTAACACAAGATAATTGAACAGTTTCTCTCTTTTTTTTTTTCTTTTTAGTTCATTTATTCCATGAGTGAAAGAGATACAACACCTCCA